GGTGCTTTGATGTGGACCGCAAAGAATCTTTAAGAACGGCCACAATAAGTACCCTGGAGGTATTAAAAAACATATTTTTTCTATATTCACCTGACAAATTATAATACGACAGCGACGAAACCCATAGACATAGGCTTAGGCTGCCCTTTTCACTGGCGCAAATGTGGTATTTGGGATAAAAATAAAACCACTTTGCACTTGCGGGATCTTGCGCTGGTGAAAATTTAAACTCGCGGAGAGTGATATTAGCTTGCGTCGGCACTTCGTGAGGGTTGCGACAGAAAAGTTTGAGAATGGATCAACCTACATTCTATATAGGTTACCGGAAATATAAAACAGCTGATATTGCAGCTTTCCTAAGCCTCCCTGCTGCAGCTGATTCTGCGTCTTAGCCATTGGGCAACCCCCTGCTGCGGCTGATTCTGCGCCTTAGCCATTGGGCAACTCCCGAAGTAAAAGCTTCCCTTTAGCTTTATTTATTTATTTATTTTATTGGGAAATGACTCTTCAGTCGCCGCTACAAAGCCCCCCCGAAACATTCAGGCTAGGGTATTCTATTCCTGGTACCCTAGACTGATTCCGACTGAAGAGGCGCTATTGTTTTAAGTCCTTCGCGTGATAAGTACCTATTAATTTCCCTTGCAAATCCTCTAGCACGTAATACACGCTTCCTAGCTTCTTTCGAACCCTGCATTTAACAAAGGACTGTCCAAATTTAGCGTTGTAGCCAGACTGGAAACAGCTCTGCCTAAAATTTCTCCGATACACTTCTTGCCCTTCCTTAAAAGTCACATTTCGAGACCGCAAATTGTTACTCTTCTCGTTTTCGTCGTGCTTTCTCTGCATTAGCCGACACGCATTATCTCGTGCAACTTCCAAAGAATCCTGATGGTCTAACTTCAGCGCTCGATCGTCTAATAAGTTTAACTTTCTCAACAAAGAATACGTGGTCCCGGAAGTGATCATGTGTTGCCCGAACACCATATAGTAGGGCGAAGTCCCTAGACTTGAATGCATTGCTGATCTCAACGAACAGCATATTTTACTTAAATTTTCGTCCCAATCCCTCTGATAAAGCCGTACGTATGCTCTTATTGCCTATATCACCGATCGATTTACGCGTTCGGAAGCGTTGGCTTGGGGAGAATGTACCGCGGTGTGAGTTACGCGATACTGTTCCATTAATTTGCCAAACGCATGAGAACGGAACTGAGAGCCATTGTCGGACACTACGGTTTCTGGCACTCCATACGTTAAGAATAATTCTTCTTCCAAATATTTAACCACAGTACTTGTGTAAATTTTCCTAATAGGTTTCAGAAAAACGTATTTGGAAAAATGGTCCAAGACAATAAAAATACCCACATGACCGCTTCTCGATCTAGGATAAGGTCCGAGAAAATCCATAAATAACCGTTGGAAAAATCGATGGCTTTCTGGAGTTTTCCCTAAGGGCGGTCGTAAAACGCAATTTGATGGCTTCGTGGTCCTGCATACCTCGCAAGCATTCACATAAGCCTTTACATCAGGCACTAGCCCAGGCCAAAAATAGTAACGCCTAACTCTTTCGATGGTCTTATGGATGCCCCCATGAGACGACAAGGGATTATCGTGTGCTTTCGCTAGTATTTCTGGAACTAACTCCTTTGGAACCCAAAGTTTCCACGCGAATTCGTCGTGCATGCGATCTCCTGTTAGGTGTTCGGCCTTACGATAAACGAAACCTTCCTCAGTCTTAAGGACAGGAAAATTAGTTTCGTTCGCTTTCACTTTATTCACTAAATCGGTGTATTCCTCCGATTTAAAATGCTCCGAGCTCAAATCTAAAAGTAGTCCGTCTCGCAAGTCCACCGCGGCTATCACTTCTTCATTAACCCGAGACAACACGTCGGGAACCAGATTGAGGGATCCTTTGCGATGTTCGATCTTGAATTTGTACCTTTGCAATGATAACGCCCATCGAGCCAATCGTGTACTCAAATCCTGATTGGACATCAGCCATTTTAATGAGGCATGATCTGTGATAATTTTAAAGTTCTGACCTTCGACATAGGCCCTAAAATTCTTTAGTGCCACTATTGCAGCCAAACATTCTTGTTCTGTTACTGTATAATTTTGTTGCGCCTTATTCAACTTCTTTGAAATGAAGCAAATAGGTCGCTCGCCCCCTTCCTCAGATACTTGTACTAACACTGCTCCTACCCCTGTCTTACTGGCGTCACAGTGTATCTCGAACGGTTTTCCGAAATCGGGGCTACACAAAACGGGCTCTTCGGATAATGATCGTTTTAAATTCTCGAAGGCTTTTAGCGTTTCGTCGGTCAAACTGAACTTACGTTTGGTTGTCATTAAGTCAGTTAACGGAGCGGCAAGAGTCGCAAAATTTGGCACAAATTTGCGATACCACCCACATAATCCCATAAAGCTCCTTAAATTTCGCAAACTCTTTGGAACAGGAAAATTAGTGATTGCTGCCACCTTTTCGGGGTCTGTACGTATACCACCGTCTCCAATGATATGCCCCAAATATCGTACCCGGTGCATGCAAAAATGACTTTTCCCGATGTTAATAGTTAACCCGGCCCGTCTAATTTGCAAAGCTATTTCCATCAGGACTTCAAGATGCCTGTCAAAGCTTGAAGAAACTATCAACAAATCGTCGAGATAGACGAACACTTCGTTCCTTAGGTGTGCTGGTACTACCTTATCCATAAGTCGAGACATTGTGCTTGTAGCATTACAAAGCCCGAATGGCATTACTTTAAATTGATAGAGAGGTCTTCCCGGTACCGTGAACGCTGTTTTGTCCCGAGAAGCGACATCTAAAGGCACCTGCCAATACGCGTCCTTTAAATCGAGGCTCGATATATATTCCGGGTTCGGCAATCGACTTAAAATACCACTAATCTGAGGAAGAGGATATGCATCCTTTTCTGTAAAACTGTTGACTTTTCTGCAGTCAAGACAAATTCGAACTTTTCCTGGTTTAGTAACCATAACGATAGGGGGTGACCAAGAGCTTTCCGACTCTTCTATAACACCTAACTCTAACATTCTATCAATTTCAGAGTACATGGCCTTTTACACCGCGGGTGAAACTGGAAAGTGTCTTTGCTTGATGGGTTTCGCCTTACCCACCTCGATGGTATGAGTTATTAAAATCGTCCTACCCAGTCCGTCTTGCACGAACGACGGAAAACAATTGATGACGTTCATCAACTTGGCCTTATCCACTTCAGACAAAATATGCTGATCAACGTTAAGCTTTGGGTTTACTTCTGTTGATCCTAGTTCAGATATAATTAACTTCCGGGGTAATAAATCGTAGAGTTTCCAAAAATCATTCCCTAAATATAAGTCTTGTTTTATAGAGGGTACTATATATATTTTCATTAACTTTTTAACTTCACCGTATTCTACTTCAACTTTATAATATCCTATTATCTGCTGCGCTCTTCCATCAGCCGTTGAGGCACTACATGCTAATACTTTATATTTAATACTAGTTTTTAACTCCTCCTCTAAATTACCACCAATACAACTAATTGAAGCTCCTGAATTTAATAATCCATAGACAGTACGATTCAGAAACTTGACTGGTACAAAAGGTCGCGGATCGCTTGATCCTGCTGGCAAGGAATTAATGTACTGAAGGCCCTGTTTAACCTCCTTTACCCGCCACCAAAACTGATTTACCCGCCTTGAGCTTCGGGATCGCCGCATTTTAAAGTTTGGGTTGTAATAAAATCCTGAAATATTCCCCTCCTGTAACCTCGGTATTTTGCTGTGAAGCAAAGGACCTGCATCAGTGCACTGTTTGTCGATGGAAGAAGTTGAGGTTGTCAACTCTACCTCTTCTATTTCTCGGTCATTGTGGCCTGACTTCGTACGGCACTCGGAGTTTTCGGTCTGAACTGCGACTTCGACGTGCCGGCTTGGAAGTTTTTTGAACACTTACCACAGTTTGGTTTGTAAGTATTCGGTGCTCCACAACCGTAATAAAAAATTCTCCTATCCGATATACAATCCTGATATCTATGACCTTCCTTGCGGCAATTCCAGCACAAAAGGGAGAAAGCTTCTATGCCTGCTTCATCATCGGATTGCTCTGTTTCCGGACCATCGTAACCTTCACTAAACTCAGAGATATCGCGTTTAAAAGGCGTGCTTCGAGAGTATCCTTGAGATCTCTTTACCTCAGCCATAAACGCTTCACGTCTGCGACAAATTCCCCTTAACTCGCTGACTGTTTGGATATCGAGATTTAAAATCTCATGCCTTATCTCGGGACGAAGGTTATTCTTGATAACTCTCACTAGCTTCTGCTGTGTCCACGGGTGATCCAACTGATTGACCAGACTCGACACGATGTCGTAAAATGAATCAAACGATTCGTTCAGTTTTTGTTTGGTATTTCTTATAATCTCTTCAGTGTCGCCGTCATCCCTAACCTGACGAAACTGAAGCCGCAAAGCTGAACAGAAGCTGTCCCATTGGACTTCGCCATGGGCTTTATGATATCGCCAATAAAATTAATTGGCCTTACCCTCAAAAAGGACGCTTGCATTTCTGCAAAGTACCGTATAGTTATTTCCTAAAGTCTCCGTAGTCAGTGCTTCCACTCTATATATGAAGTTGTACACAGACACTCCTTTTCCGGAATACTTAATTTTCCACCCGTTGAGGATATGCACTACCTTATCAGGGCGGTTCAACAAGTCTGACGTGTTGCTTCCCTGAGAGTTTTGGGACCGCGGACTTAATGTGCTTTCTCTCACAGGTACCCTGGTATTTTCTGGGTCTATCCTGCCTTGCAGACTTTCTTCTGATGGAGGTAAAGACGGGTGACTCATTCCCGAGCTGTGATTCTGAGCTGCCAATGTCCTAGTCAAAACATCAGCTACTGAGTTTTGGATCAACTCAACCATCTTTCCTTACAGTGACTCCAACAATCTCTGCTCCATAGCTAGTAGCGTTATGGCATTCACCGAAATTATGCTTTAATTGCTGCAAATGGGAATAGACCCTGAAGTGGTAGCTATGTCGTCTGTCGTTTGTCTCCCGACGTTATCGGGGGTGGGCTGATTCCTGGATTGACTTCGAGTTCGTCTTTCCGGGTCATCCGTTACCTTAAGTCCTTTGGGTCTGCAAACCGGACATTGTAATCTCTTTTTCCAGTGAACTTCTATGCACTTCCGGTGAAACTCATGCTGGCATGCCGTTACGTAGACCTCGGCAGCGTTTACCTCGGCGTTACAAATCGGACAACAGGAATTGGAGCTGTTTGCAGCTCCTTTATCTGGAGACCGGTCTATCCCCATCTTCCCAAAAATCGTAACTTTCCCACAACTAATATATCAACAACCGAAATAAAAAAATGGAATTATCAAAATCTAGCTGCTAAGCTTGTTGCTAACAAACCAAATATTTTACTCAAAGATACGTTGCCTTCAGCAACTAAACCAACAAAAGAAAAGAAAATCTAAACAAAAGAGTGTTTGAACTGATGATTGATGACGCACGTGTTGTAGGGTATTTGTTTTTTTTTTCCCGACTTCTCAGGAAAATAAAAGTAGATAGTTAATGACTTTACTCGGTTTCTTTCAACTACTAGAAAGATTACTTCTCTCAGCTTCCAGTTTGGTCTTGGCCATCGACCTGTTTCCGACAGATTCATGTGTATTCCATAAGACCATAACGGACGCCTCAAGTAATCCAAAAGGATTCTACGCTAATGAACTTCTGGATGGGGCATTACTCTGGAGTAGTACCACCATATTCCGTACGGTGAAATTCATTTCGCTTTTAGAATGATAGAGGTTGGTAGATTGGTGACACTGTGTCTTAGCCCGGGCCAGAACTCGACCTAAGCTCGCGTTTTCTGTTTTCCTCAGGCACCCTTTGTGGACCTTTCTGCCAACTTTAGGAAAATTTCTCGTTTGTTTCTTAAATCTTGGTCAGTAATGAACACTAATAATCATTTAACTGCTTTCCAAAAGAAATTTAATATCCAAAGAGAAAGAAGGTTGAAAAATCGAATTAATTTATCCTGGAGTCTTAATGAGAAAAAAAAAAGGAACAGTTCCACTAAGGGCCCACGTTGGACGCCACCTTTCTTTATTTAAAAATTAATTAATTATAACTGTAGCGTGTAACGGTCTTCTGCGCTTTTCCGAAAGGATTTGTATTTGCGAGGGCACGCTATAGAGTCCGGCTCTAGCTCGTCGGCTTTGGGGATGGACGTCTTGCTTCATACAAATCCTAACACGGTCACATTTTAATATCAAATAAAGTCCAGAATTGAGCGTGCTGGTGACAAGATAGATAGCTAGATACTAAACCGGGAGAACGGAAGAATTAATTCGACGCGGAAAAGATAGATTTAGAAAGAAAGAGAGAGGAGAGAAGTAGAAAGTTTGCGATGCCACAGATGTAAATAGGCTCGCGTACTGCCCACCCTACCTTTGGCCACAGTCCGATAAAGCAATGCTTTAGTGACCCCTTAGAACACCCTACAACCGTGGAGTCATCAGCTCAGTTCAAACAGAAGATATTTCAATTCATTATAAGATTTAATTCAGAATAAAACTAACAAAAAATTTGGCTATGACTAATGAAATGTTTTGCATTATTCCTAAATGTTTGCTTGCATAAAAATAAAATATCCTAATTAAATGAGAGGGAAACTTATGTAAAATTTATAAAAATAAAAATTAATACGTAAATGTTCCAAGAAATATGGGTATATATATATAATATAATAAAATTTGGTAAAAGTAAATATCAATATGAAGGTGATAATAAATTTTAAATGAGGGTATTAAAAATATGATAAAAATTTAAAATTCATAAGGATAGAGTATCCGTTAGTCACCACTTTAATTAAATTAAATTAAATCATTTAAATGAAATTCGTGCTCTTGTTATTTTTTTTCGTGTGGATGACTGAATTACATTTTTTTTTTTTTTTTAATTCAAAAATTCAGTGCGACTCGAGAAGTTTTTCTCAGTGCAGGTGTAAAAGGTAAATAAATCACTCACTGTAAGTCCATCGGCGAAAGATCGATCTCTGCTTTGGGTTGCTGTAAATGAGTTAGTGGGTTTTTTGGTACACCATAGAATTTTAAAACAAACTAATTTCCGCACGAGAATTAAAATAAACGATTTAAAATAACCTGATGATCATTTTTGTTTCGCGAAAACTTACAAAAAAAAATGAATAGTCTTCATATTCTTCGAATTCGTTTCTCTTCACTTCACTAAAAGCCTGTAATTAATTTAAATTTAAACTAAAAATTAAAACTATTGAATAAAAAAAAATATAAAATTCAAACATGTTAATAACGCTCTTGATTTGGGGGATGAAATGGTGAAAAAAAAATGAACGCCATGAGGTTGGGGCTGGTCTGCTGGGCTAGCAGTTTTTTTTGATAATTCCCCTTTGCTCAATATTCCATAGCTGGTGGGTGTCAACGCCCTTTCGCTCAACGGGTCTTGGGCAGCGTTGGGTCTCCGAAAATTCTCTTATACCATCCCTAACCTCAATCAATGATTTAGGATGAAGAAAATGATGATGACGATGATAATGATGATGATGATGATGATGATGATGATGATGTCGGAGTACGGAATAACCGGATGGGGTTTAGCCGCTTCTAATCTGGGAGCCTCCACCAGGAGGGCTCCCGGGGTGCTTTGATGTGGACCGCAAAGAATCTTTAAGAACGGCCACAATAAGTACCCTGGAGGTATTAAAAAACATATTTTTTCTATATTCACCTGACAAATTATAATACGACAGCGACGAGGTCGCGCTTTTATAAAGCCGCGACGAACCAAAAAAAACCCATAGACATAGGCTTAGGCTGCCCTTTTCACTGGCGCAAATGTGGTATTTGGGATAAAAATAAAACCACTTTGCACTTGCGGGATCTTGCGCTGGTGAAAATTTAAACTCGCGGAGAGTGATATTAGCTTGCGTCGGCACTTCGTGAGGATTGCGACAGAAAAGATCGAGAATGGATCAACCTACATTCTATATAGGTTACCGGAAATATAAAACAGCTGATATTGCAGCTTTCCTAAGCCTCCCTGCTGCAGCTGATTCTGCGTCTTAGCCATTGGGCAACTCCCTGCTGCAGCTGATTCTGCGTCTTAGCCATTGGGCAACCCCCTGCTGCGGCTGATTCTGCGCCTTAGCCATTGGGCAACTCCCGAAGTAAAAGCTTCCCTTTAGCTATCGATTACCAAAAAAAAAACAAAATATAAAGCCTATATAATAATTTTAGTTCTTTATTTATTTTATTGGGAAATGACTCTTCAGTCGCCGCTACAAAATATAGTCCACTATACCGTTATTTTTAAGAAGAAATACATGTACTAAAAGCCATTCAGAAAATAAAAAATAAAGAATTTACATATAATAAAGTTAAATCCATTATAAATAATGTTTGGGACGTAGATGTAAAACGTGCGCCTAATCTTGCTGGCGCTTGGCAGAATATTCACACTTGAACACGTATATATATATAAGAATTCAACGTAAGCATCAAACCGCTGCAGCACTGTACTGAGAAGAATGTGTCTACACCAACTATGTACGAGGTGTGTTCAACAAGTAAGATGACTTTGTATTTTCAAGAAAAACTATTAATTTATTTATCAATATTTATGTTGTCCCCTTTAAAGTAATCCCCCTCAGATACAATACACTTATGCCAACGGTTTTTCCAATCCTCAAAGCACTTCCCATAAGCACTTTTCGGTATAGCCTTGAGCTCTTGCAGCGATGCAGTCTTTATCTCTTCAATCGTTGCAAATCTCCGTCCTTTCATAGGTCTCTTCAGTTTTGGGAACAAGAAAAAGTCTCATGGGGCCAAATCCGGTGAATATGGTGGCTGAGGCATTATTGTGGTGTTGTTTTTGGCCAAAAAATCTCTCACAAGCAAAGATGAGTGAGCAGGGGCATTATCGTGATGCAAAAGCCATGAATTGTTTTTCCACAATTCTGGACGTTTCTTTCGTATTGCTTCTCGCAAACGGCGCATAACTTCCAGATAATACTGTTTATTGACCGTACGACCATATGGTAAGAACTCCTGATGCACCACGCCATGGTAATCGAAGAAAACAGTGATCAAAACTTTGACATTTGATCGAACTTGGCGTGCTTTTTTCGGTCTTGGCTCGCCTGGGCTCTTCCATTGGGACGATTGGGCTTTGGTTTCGATATCATAACCATATACCCATGATTCGTCACCAGTTATGACCCTTTTTGAGTAAATCTGGGTCGTCGTTGACGTCATTCAACAGCTCTTGAGCGATGCTCATGCGACGGTTCTTTTGGTCAAAATTCAGCAATTTCGGAACAAACTTCGCTGACACACGACTCATACCCAAAACGTTTGAAAAAATTTCATGGCACGAGCCAAGCGATATACCGACATCTTCAGCAACTTCTCTGATAGTGATTCGACGATTTTCCAAAACAATTTTCGTCACTGCTTGAACGTTTTCATCAGTTGTTGACGTGCTTGGGCGTCCAGAGCGAGGCTGGTCATTGGCATCTTCCCGGCCATCTTGGAAGAGTTTGTACCACTTGTACACATTTTTTTTACTCAGAACAGTTTCACCGTATGCCACTGTCAACATTTCAAGTGTTTCAGAGCACTTAATTTTATTTTTTACACAAAATTTGATGCAAATCCTTTGATCCATATTTTTCGATAGCAAAAAATCGCCGAGCTCGCAAAATAACTTGTAACTTTACGCCTCTCACAACCAAACAAAAGAGGATGTTCCATTGAAACTTGGTACAGATGTTAGGGAAGAGTGTACCAATATAACAAAACAAAAAAATCGATAATCGAAAATATGTTGCCCGCGAAATTTGAAAAGTCACCTTACTTTTTGAACACACCTCGTATATCTTGCAGCGGAAATTCCACGCTTGCACTTGAAAACGGTTTCCCAGCTAAGGGAACAGATGACCATTACGTTGGCCTTCTTAGAGATAAGAATATGAGAATTTCATGTTAGCGACCTAAGCTCGGACTTAAGAAAGTAGTTTGAAAAAGCTGGTTCTGGCACAGATTTATGGGCTTACCCGAAACCCATTATCTGTCGTGTCCTGTGATTAGGGTTTCACCTCACCACCCGCAGGTCCTTTTAGTATGGATTCTGGCACAGAAGTCATAAACCCATGTATTATAGTTTTTAAAATTAGTGCACTCGTTCAAGGAAGTAAAAAATGTGACATTTGTGTCAATATTAGTTTTCCGACCTCCCTATCCGTTATTTGAGAATATTGAAATGTATTCCT